CCTCAGCCAGAAACCTACTCAATATTTATTTAAAAATACTTAGTAATTTTAAATCTTTCTTTAAATCCAAGCCACTTTGTGATATGTCCTGTCTTTGAGTGCCTCAGTCCCAGTGGCTATTTCTCTTGGACAGCACTGATCTCATCTCTGCAGGCTAAATCTCTCTACACTGTCCAATAAGGGAATGTGGGAACATATTTTATCTTTGCTGTCCAGTTATCACATGAGAAATCTTTAAGTTTTTTTCAAAGAATTCTTCAGGGGAAGTAGAAACAATTCAGAAAGATAGGGCCGGGAAGCATTATTAATATGCTAGGGGTATTAGAAATTGTTGCCTATCAAGTTAGATTAGTCTAGATGTGATGTAAACACACATACATGGAAAATATATTTTAATGAAAGCATTTGGGGGAGGAAAAGTTAACTCTCACTTGACTATGCAAACAACCAGGAGTAGGAGATTTAGATAAGTGGAAATTTGCTCCATCATACTGAATTTCACTGCCATCCATCCAATACCTTCCTGCAAAGGATGCTATTCAAAGCATGTGAGGAGCCACAGTGCTTCCAAGTCTTCTCCTGGGGCAGGCCACCAGCTCAGGGCACAAACACCAGGGTCCTTGCTGCCTCTAGCCCCAACCCAGCATCACCCCATGTAGAGTCTGGTGACCACAGCTTCTGGAGCAGGCACCACCGTGAACCCCCAGTATCACGTTCTCTGACTGCAAGCATCCAGAGGCCAGGCTGCCGCACACTTGCAGGATGCCATGCTGCAGCTACAAACCCCTGTTGCTAATAGCAGCACAGCACAGAATCAGAGTCCAACAAGATATGATTTATTGTTTGATAGTGCCTTCCAAACCCTCACCAGTGTTTTGAAAATACCAGGCTCTGCCAAGAACACAATTTGTCAAAAATAATGAAAGCTTTGTTCCTTTCATCATATAATATCTAATGTTTTTTTTTTTTCTCCAGTCAAAGTTCTTTTCTGGCCTTGGACTAACTACATTCTCAGCTTGCAGCAACAAACATTTGCTAATAATAATCACTGGAGAGCTTGGAAACTGGTTTCACAAAGTGTCCTTGATCTCTAGTTTGTGAAGGAAAAGAGATGCAGAATTAGCTGTACTTTTTTTCAGTCAGCCAGAGCGGTGTGTGCATGTCACCTTCCAGATGGAAAAGCCTGAGCTTTTTGCAATATAGATAAAGATGCATGATTTTGTGAAATATATTCGAGATGGCTGTGAGGTAAGTTGAGCCCTATGCCTCTGAAATGACCCAGTGGACTACAGTAAGACATGGTGTTAGGGTAAAGGCTCATTGCATACATGAGGTGTTAATTAAGTCTGAATATACTTCTGACTGTCTTACTGTATGATGTCTTGAGTATCCCAGAAATCTTGGGTTAACCTTTCTGTGGATGGAATCAGGGAGTTGTATTTGCAAGGGCAAACTGCTGTGGTGCAACATGTGCCCATGAAGCATTATTCAGGAGGGGGATTGTTTTACAAGGCCACAATCATGCTAAGTGTTCTGGAAAGGCTCAAAGTGTGGCTTGCAGCAGGCTTTAGTGTGGTTTGGTACACAGAGCAGGATGGAGCTGTGTGCACGGGCAGTTAGCGCTCGTCCAGTCTTGGCTTGAAGGGTAACTCTGCTGCCTTTCCTGCTGTGCAGACCACTCCAACAGCCCTGCTCAGCCAAGTTACCCACTCCAGCAGGCATCCCCAAACCCCACATTGACCCCTGTCTGGTTCAGCAGTGCTGTCCTCCATGCCATGAGCACTGAGAGTTCCTCCCTGGAACCAGAGTTTTTGGGCTCTGGGCAGCACTCAATGACTCATTGATGTTGCACATCATAGCAAGACTTGGCTGCAGCTGGGGGGTCTCCAGTGGCTGGCTTCACTGCAGGGTTTCATGGCATCATTCTGGGTGGCAGGAAGGGAAGAACTCTTGTGTTTGCAGTCTGCCAGCCCTCAAGCAGAGTTCTGATCCGCCTATGCTGATCAGGGCCCCTGCCTCTGTCCCTGCCTCAGACCAGGTGCTCCAAATGAGAGCACTAGAAATCCTGAAGGTGACAGCTACAGAATAACCTGCCAACAGGGAAAGTTTCCTCCAAATCCTATTACTCAGATGTTGGCTTTGACCCTGGAGCATTAAGCTTTATATTCCCTGTAAGCACTGCCTGTGTTTGGTCTCTGTGTCCCCACTATGGTAACTGAATCTTCTGGGTGTCTAAAGAAAGGACAAAGGGCCTCACTGCCATTTTTCTGTTTAAAATAGAGCAGTTCTTTAAGTTAAGAAAGGAACATAGAAAGAAAAAATAAAGTACAGTGCCACATATCACTCCTATCCTGGAAGGACTTCATAATCACTTTCCTACCCTTGGGGAATAGTTCTGCTCTAGAGTGACAACTGCCTGGTAGGCTGTTCAAATACAAAAAGTATATGAAATACACAGAATAAGTGATATTGAATAAACGCAGTTCCAATTACATTATGTTACAGGAGGATGGGAATAGTAGGGACACAAGTAAGCATGAAGGGATGTCAGTCAGATAATGCTTATACATTATTACTTCTAATTTTCTAAGTTATCAATGAGAAGGACAGAAAGTTAAATGCTTGCATGGACTGTCACCAGTATTTGGTAGAAATATCAACTGTCATTCTGAACTTGGCTGAGTACTTTAAACATAGAAAACTTAGACTTATAATAAAGCCCCTTTCATCTGATAAAGTTATCAGGGAGTATAAAGCAATTAAACATATTGAACCATGGTGCTGCCAGCTCATGCCCTCTCAGCAGGCATGGTGCTGCAAAACTGGGCCTGAAACCTGTTCTTCAGTTGGCATGTGGCCCCCAGTCCCAAAATCTCCCCTCTGCCCTCCATGGCTGGCCAGGCAGTTTATCCTGACTGCTTCTGCCACCAGCCTCTTCCAAGTCTGCAAGACTTGTTCAAGAAAGGGGTTTTGCACTAAGGGATTTTCTGCAAGGAACAGGAGGACAGCTGTATGAACACAACATTTATGACACAAGGGTCTGCCTTGTATAACTGTTTGGCATCCTTGCATAAGACTGAGGTGTTAGTGTTACCTTAAGATACCAATATCCCTGTAACAGTCTTACAGGAAAGAGAGTACATCAGGTGTAAAGCAGCGAGAGAGATGAAGGCAAAATAAAAATTGGAAGAAGGAGTGTACTTAAGGAGAAAATGGTTGTCAGCTGAAGTCCTGAGAGACTGTTGAGGTAATACAAAATTATCACTCCAAAGGACTGGGGGAAAGGCTGGGATACAAGAAGGATTAAGAGTATAGAAGAATGAATGGAGAATAAAGAGGTAAGAAGTAGGGAAAAATCACAGATGGAAGAAATCATTATTGTCATTTTTTTATTTTGTAGAAAATGTGCTTTTGTACAGCATCTGACTTAACCATATATCAAACAGCCTCAAAGAAATTCACAATGCTGGAAATAGAGGCCAGAGACAAACTGTGTATACTTTGCTCTGACTTTTCTTGGAGGCTACAGATGTTCATTGTTTGAACACACAATGGACACATTAGTATCTCCAGATGTTCACCATCCATCCTCCCAGAACAGTAATGGGCAGGCCAGGGAATGAATGCTTTTAGCAGAAACTTCAGTTTCCGCTACTGCTTCAGATGAAGTATTTTGTCGGTGTTTATGTTCTGGAAAGCACCTGCTGTAAATGTAGGGAGCCTATGCTACAGAGCAGTGCCCCTCTGTGCCACCAGCCAACACTGCACAAAGCCTGCAGACCATCCATACAGGTGCTGATGAACTGACTTCCAAAGAGAATGAGAATCCAGCATTGCTTTTGACTATTTTACCTGATAAGAATAAGCAAACATTTAAAATTACAAAAGAATGTAAGTGGTTTAATGGCTCAGAGATTCAGCGCAAGGGTAGTACTTCTCCTTAGCCACAGACATAATAAGACAACTTTTGTAAGCAATTTGAACAGGAGTTTGTGATAATTATACTTCTTATTCCCAGAGGAAAATAGCATGCTGTCAAATTAGATACAACTGGTTGTCATGCATTTATTTATTCTTGCAAAAAACCTTGTAATGGTATTTTTTGTGAAGTCTCTAAAGCGGCTTACCACAAATTCTTGATGTCATATTATATAAAATCACAGGTGAAATGCTGCTGAAAACCAGTAATTCAGCAGTAGCACCCAAGTCTCCCTGAAAATTATTCAGACAGTTTTGAAAATGCTATCTTAATTATGATTGGCATGGTTCCCTCTCATTCTTTCATGAATTCTCATTCATGAATTCTCACTGGCCAAAAGTAACCTGCTGAAGCAGATTTAGTCCTACAAAAAATGCTGTAAGTGAAGGAAGTACACTTGTTTGCAGTGTATGAATCTGTAAGAGAAAACAGGACAGGATTTGGTCTTTCGCTGATATGAAGAGGATGTTTAAGAGGTGTGTGCTTTTTCCAACATGCATAATTTCAGTGCAATGGATGCTCAGCTGGCAGCTGGGAGAACTTGAGTTTCTCAGATTGGGCCAGAGCTACATTACAGATGCATGCTGTCCTGCACTGGAGCATCTCACCCTGAGAAGAGCAGTGCCCTACAAGAGGCCATGCCGTTCCACTGTTTTTAATGCCAGTGTTGCCTGGAGTGGCACCCGTTTTCCTGTGGGATGGTCAGGTCACTTCAGCTGACCTGAATTTGCTCTCAAAATGCCTTTGCAATAAACCAATGGAAAGAAAAAAGTTCTGGAAAACTGAATATAAGATACTGTCTCTTCTTCAGTGAAATCATAGAAGAATTTAGCTACTCCTTTCAAGAGAACAAGGAATTCACCCCCAAAAAATCAATATCCAAGAAACCCACATAAAATCTGTGGGAGCTGTTGTATGCAGCTGTTTTGAAAAAGCACTCACTTCTGCCTGCAGGAGGGTAACCCACTTACACAGGAAAAAAAGCATATTTTCTGACAGTCAGCAGAAGATAAGAAAGAGACCCTTGACAGAAAGAATGCAATTAAAAAAATTAGCATGCCATTAAACCAAGTATAAATACACATTGTATTACATGAGTGAACAGTGTTTTCTTTAGTGTATGTGCCATTTTTTATTAATTCATACACTAAGTGCTAAAGTGTTTCCTAATGCCATTAGGTGGTGCTTTCAGTAAATAACAGAATAAATATTTCTTGCACAGTTCTTTTCTGCACTGTGGTCTCATTTTCCGAAGTAAGAGGAAATTTAAACAAAACACCAAAGGTGCCTCCTCCTTCCAAAGCCCACCAACCTCTCACAAAGCTGTGTATCACGTTTCTGAGGCACTCTGGCTCCCCTCGGGTGTGATAAACTGCACTTTGGGCACGATGAGGGAGGCATTGGTTCTCCGCATGGAATTGCTCCTTCGAATGGAGTTGTTCCTCCTCATGGAGTTGCGTTTCCGCAGGGAGTTTTGGTGGGACAGCTCGCTCTTCTGCAGTGTCTGGATGAGAATGGATGGCTTCTCATCGAGCTCTCGAGCGCTGCAGCGTGGTGCTGCCACTTTGACAGTGTTGCCAAACTTGGAGTAGTCGACTGAGTACACGCCTTCCTCTTCAGTGACAATGGGCACAAAGCGGTGACCCCACAGGATCTCCTCTGCTATGTAGGAGGTTCTTGCCTGCGTTGTAATGCCAGTTGTTTCTACGACTCCCTCAAGTATCACGATGAGCTCCAGGTCCTGGAGTGCCAGGTCAGCAGCAGAGATATCGTAAAGAGGACTCCGCTTGTCTATAATGTGACAAATGATTAAGGGAGCCACGAGGAATATATTATTGCTTTCAATGGGGTTATCCACAGGGATATCTACTTGGTGAATGGGTATGACTTCTCCTTCAGGGGTCGTAGTCTTCCTCACAACCTGGATTCTCACTGAGGCACTAATGATCATGCTTTTCCTCAGGTCTCCCACTCGAAACATGAAGCAAAGTTTGCCATTTCGAACTGCAATGACTGCCTGCCGGCTGAAAATCAAGGTCTCAGCCCGCCTGTGAGCTTGTGCGGTTTTCATGAATATGCAGCCCAGCATGACAGCATTGATGATCAGACCTACAATGTTCTGCAGGATCAAGACTGTGATGGCCAAGGGACATTCCTCTGTCATCATTCTGCCCCCAAAACCAATGGTCACCTGAACTTCAATGGAGAAAAGGAAAGCGGAGGTGAAAGACCTGGAGAAGAAGAAAAAGTTAATGCTAAGGATATTGAATACAAACCAAGAAGCTATTACCATATACTTTCTAGAAATTAAGGATCTCTTTGTAAAGTTCTGGTACATTTATGCCTTCCGTTAACACCAGAAAAAGCATTGCATGCTCAGTGACTCTGTTTTTGTATGATCAGTGCAGATTCTGATGGTGACAAGGAAGACCTCAGAGCCTGAGCTCCTAAAACACAATCTGCAAGCTAGGTGATCTTGAGAAGATCACTAGATCCTCCGTTCAGGAACACATGGTGACCACTGTGTTAGTCAACAGTGCAGTAACACCTGAACTTTCCACCTTCCCAAACCATGAAGCTCTTGGTGGAGAGTGGTGTTTTTGAGTGAGCAATTGGCCAGCACAGTGGAATTCTTCCACCAGCCTGTGCAGGGAAAGGAAACAGGGAAAACTGCAGCATTTCACTCATACTACCTGGGACACTCCCAGATTCATGACACCTCCCAAACCCTTGCTCGCACTGCGACTGAGCCCTTAAGATCTGGCTGCTGATTAGTGGCTTCTGTGGTCCCTTCTGCACATCCTGGCAGGAGGACAATGCTGTGACCCAGGGTTTGGGTTCATCTCACTGCTGTGGCAAGACTAGCTGGAAAATTTCAGTACAGAAGTGGGTTGTAGAAGTTAGAAGCGGTTTAACTTAAATGTCCCTAACACGCTGTAGTGCTGGACATGAGAGGATGCTGTCCACAAGTTTTCCACAATACATTATTTATAGTAGTCCACAATGGCCTATATGCTGTATATACCAGGGCCTTTAGTTTCCTTTATAATCAGATACATCCTTCAGAAGAATCTCTTGGTCTAAAATCAGTACCTTGGGGTTTATTGAGGAGAGGCGCAGCACATTGGGTCTCATATGAACTAGTGTCATAGTCATCCTTTTTACACAGTGCTATACACCAACATTTGAAGCACTGCCATGCTCAGCACAGTTTTACCTATGGAAAATATGTCTTCCCCAGGAATATGGATCTAAACTATTCATTTGGTTTCATTTACTTTTAAATTAATCTGCTTTCAAATATTTTTTTCTCTTTGTTCCTAACCATATTTTCATTGAGCCTGATGTCACAAATAGACATTAAAATAGCTTAGGCAATATTAGGGATAATTTTCAGTAGAATGAGAAAGTCCATGTCTCAGAAATCCAGTACAGATATCTTTGAAAGATCTTTGTCTTTCTTTTTTTCCCTTTTTGATTTCTTGTAGTTTTAGAGATTCCCTTGTATTGAGGGGTTTATTTTTGCATTTCACACTGAAGAAATCAGGAATGAAGGAGTTAATTAATAGAATCCATGGAAGGACTTCTTATGTTTATGAATGTTTAGTTACATGGAGAATGGAGATTCTGGTTTAAACTTAATTCAGCTTAATTCAACTTAAAGCTTTGTGGAGTAAATATTCTGATTTCCCTAAACAATACTGCTTCTTAAAAAAAAAGAGAGAATCCATCTTTTTACAGTGTAAGCAGTGTAAACAGCAAGTTTATACAGCATTTTCAACACATGAAGAGGGAGCCAGAAACCCCAAACCATGCTATAGCCAGGTCTTTCTCTTTAGACCTGTGTAAAATGTTTCCTCTTTGTAGAATGTTTGCTTTGTGTGGCAAAGAGATGTGAGACTTAGGCATTTCTCCAGTTCTTTGAAAAATTAAAGTGCTGTGCATGGTCTAGGCACTAGTTAAAATTTCCAAAGGCAGGTTTCCTGTAAGTCTGTAATGGCACCTACCCAAGAAAGCTCTCCTGAAATATCCATGCGCTTAAATCTCAGGGAAGTATGTTAAAAAATATTTGCCTGTATTTTGGCACACATATTATTGCAATATGAAATATAGTTTACATCCAACAACACACCATTCTTCAAAATGTTAATAATCATGTTGCTATTCTATTGCTTTGTCTAAAGAGGTAGCCAGATTTAACAAGATGAAGTATTTCGTTATGAAAGGAAAAGATTTTCCATGGCTTGGGCATGGGTACTTGAGCAGATGTTACCTGAACCACCCCAAGTATTTGCATGAGGGAGTGATGTGTTTTCTTTCATCATGGGCTAAACCAGAAAGTTACATGGACTCATCTGCTCTTTTTTTTTCCCACCTCCCAGCACACGGCTGCCACAGCTATGGGGAGGGTGAACGTCTCAGATCTGTAGCCATGGTCCCCCATTTCCTAGTGGCACAAAGCCCAGGCAACCAGCTCAGGCTCTGCAGGGTGGCCCAGGAGAGCTGTGGGGAGTCCCACGAGGTGGCCAAGCTGAGGGGGCCACCAAGCAAGCAGAGGGATATCCTCCCGCCTTACTCTGAAGAGCTGGTGGGGTGTAGCTACTTGATAATGCAGGTTGGATGATTTCCACAAATCCCAGAAATGCCAGGGGTAACACCCCAGTGGGCGCAAGCTGGGTGATGAAGTCTCATTCCATTGCCACCAGTAATTGGAAAAGAAATAAAACAGCACCCCCTCCATCCCAGCCTAATGAAAGTTAGCTTGGAAAAATCCCTACTTCCTTTGTTTTGGAAAATCCCAGTTTAGCAAAAAATGTCAAAATCAAAGAAGAATGAAACCTCTGTTCCCTCATGAGCCAGATACGATATCCATTCAAACTTGGAGAGGTGCCTTAAAACTATGTGCAGGAGGAAAGAGAAAAGGGAAGTGGATACTCTAATATCTCAGCAGACCCTGTAGACCCCCCAGTCCCTCACAGCACTTAATGTGTAAAGGTAGCTGATCTGGGGCAGTCCGGAGGTACCAAATCAGGATTTTTCTGCTGAAAAACTTAGTGCTATAAATATAGATTTTACTGATGAGATGACAAAGCAATCTTACTGCTTACCCCACCTTCCGATTACACTCTCTTCTGTGTGCAGATGTGTCAGTTTATCAGTGCCTTGAAAATTGTCATGGCTTTGGGGAAGGGGAATAAAACACTTTAACAGGTGACATTCAGTCTGCTACTCCCTTAAGCTTTCACTGTCTGTCACATCATGCACACTGTGGAAACTGTTCCTCTGTCAAACTACTGGCCTATGGCTTCATCAAGGTATTTTGAAGCACCACATTTTTATGTCTCATGAGAGTCATCTTGAAAGACTAGTTTTGCCTTAAGCAGTGCTTTTCTTGCTAGCCCTGCCTGACACCCATGGTTCATACCCTGTTTCTCAGACACTGTTCCTGAGGTGGCCACCTTTCAATGGCATGGCAAGTGGCTTGCACCACGCTGGGGATGCTCCCACTGCCGTAGACAAGGTTACAATACATACAACACATACCCACTCTTGTAGCAGGCTCTTATCTCGACAGGCAAGGTATGTTACCCCCAGAGTGTGGAGACACATGAAAAGCAGCAGGTCTCCCTTTCTTTCAGATCCTGTAAGGAATCAAAGAAATCTAGAGTACAGTATTTTCCAAGCCCAGAAGGCTTGCTGAATTTATGTAATCTGGAGGAAAACACTGCACTTTTCAACTGTCTCAACCAAACACAATGGTTCATGTAAACCAAAAGATGCATTTTAGCATCATTAGGACAGCAGGCAGCCCTGTTCCACCCCCTTTCTTCATCCCACCGACCATATTTTACCTCACACATGTCACACATGGTGTCCACTTTGTGCTGTTTGCAGTGCTTTCTGTGCTTGGGTCCATGTCACCATGGGCAAAAGCCACCAGCCACCACATCATGGCAAAGAGCAGCCAGCTGCACAGGAAGGACATTGTGAAGATGACCAGTGTATGACGCCACTTCAGGTCCACCAAGGTGGTGAAAATGTCTTGCAGGAATCGCCCCTGCTCGCGGATGTTCTTGTGTGCCAGGTTGCATGCCCCATTCTTGGCAATGAAGCGGGCTTTGCGAGGCCGGTCTCGGATGCGTGGCTTGCGCAGGTTCTCGGCAGCAATCCGTGCCAACACATACTCTTCAGGGATGATACTCTTCCGAGCCAACATCTTCCTGCCACCATAGTCCACTCAGCTAGATGCGAAATGGGGGGTGGCCCCTCTACTGTGTCTCCGTAGGGCTCACTCTACCCTGAAAAAAGAGAGAACCTGGTTAGATTTGCGCACTACAGGAAGAAGCCCTGATGAGATGCCACAACATTGAACGTCACTGCATGACTACTTATTCTACAGTGCACAACCTCTTTCAGATCATCATTTTTATATGAGTAATTGGCAATTGCTCGTCGCAGAAACAAACTATGCTCTTTTGACACTCCTTGCAGGAAGGGAGGCTGCAGAACAGTCTTGCAAACTTGGCATAAAGTAACACGACGTGCAACAGGTCAGTTTCTCAGGTTGTTTCTCCAGGAGTCAGCAGTGCCCAGGTGAGTACTTCAACACAGAACTCTAAGTTACTCGCATCCTTCAGGACCTGAAGAATCAGACTTCCCTGGTTTAAACCAAAGCTAGTCTGTGGAGATCGTGAAGACTCATTTCTGATGGCCACGGCCTCACAGCGCAGCCCTGCCGAAAGCCCCTGTCCTGTCCCCCAAAAGCATCACAAGCAGGAGCTGAGCAGGCACAGAGGGAGGCAGGGAACGGGACTCCATGGAGCAGGCGACAGCACTTTCCCTTCGCAGCTCTCCGTCCTTTTCCGGGATAAGGTGGGAAAACCCTCCCCTTTATTCCCAAACTTATGTTCCCAGAAGGGTGACAGAACAAACCTACGGAAAGCGCGGCTCCCCTCCGGTTGGCCCGTCCCACCGCCGGACGGGAGGGGAGGACAGGGGCTGCTTGAACCCCTGCCGCTTCGCTGGGAGCCCCCACCCCGGTGCGGAGTTCAGTCGGGCCCACGGAGCTCAATCGGCCCCCTCCCTGTCACCAGCCCCCCGCCCGGCCGTCGCGTACCGCAGAGCGGCGGGGCAGGGCAGACCGGGAGGGGCGGAGCGGGGCGGAGCGGAGCGGAGAGGAGCCGGGGGGCGGCGGGGAGGGCCACCCCGCGTGGTTGGGTGTGAGCCGTGCGGGGCGTAGGCGGTACGCACGCTTTTTCTTCCTTTCTGTGCGCCCGACCTGCGGCAGATGAGGCGATGGGGCATCTCGGGCTGAGTCCAGCAGATGTAGCAGAGGAGTGAGGTGCTGATTTAGTGGGTTTGAGCATTTCCGTTCGGGAGCTGGCTCCGTCCAGGCAAGCAAAGCCAACCCCCCGGCTGCAGCAGGGCACGCTCCTCGCTTCCTCTGCTAATCCCGGAGTTGTGCCTTTGTAACTTTATTTTATCTCGAATCTGGCTGAGGCAGTTTGCATGCAGAAAGCGAAGCGTGTGAGTAAGAGTTTGGAGGACCAAAGCCAGAATCTCACGGCCTTTGCTGCTTTTGACAAACTTAATTACCTGTTTCTGCAAGAAAAGAAAGAAGTATTCCTTTTTATGGTTCACGACTCTCACTGGGCACAGTCAGCCCCCTTATAATTTTCAGCTGGTGAAACGGGCTGTATGAGTATTTGTACATGGGATGGGTATAGGAGAAATTATGACTAATGGCAGAAACGAAACAGTGAAATCAAAGTTCATTCTTTTTAACACAGGTAGAGGTTGACAGTTTTGGCTCTTGTATTTAATGGAAACTTGCATTCTTGGAAATTGCAGCTTTTTTTTTTCCAAAGTCTTGGGGTTTGTAGTAAGAAGAATAAACTGTATATCAACTCTATGAAAAGATCTAAATTTAGATTTTAATGAAGTAAAGTGCAGAGATGTCATTGTGTCAGATTAACTCCCCATGTCCAGGGAATGTGTGCGTGTGTGTGTGTGTACAGTGGGGAGGTTTCTTAACTTTTCTCTGTATGACTCAAGCAAATGACCTATATGGTATAAAATTTACACAGAACAAAGTACTCTCTGTAAACTAGAGAAAAAAAGAAATGCTTGACAGGCCTGCTGCAATCAGGAAGGTTTTTAGTGTATTCAGGCTTGGAAAAATTGAGAAGGCGTGTTTGACAGGCAGTGTAATCCTCAGCTTGAAGATATCCACCCTGTTGAACACATGCACGTGCTCAACTTTAAATAGATGAGTGATTCTTGGAAACTTTTCTAGCACTATCCTTTTCTAATACCAGATATCCAGTAGTCAGAAAAGAGACTGACTTAAAGCCCCAGTCACATCAGGCCATTAGCTAGGCATTTGAAATTAACTTTAAGCAGATGACCAGCTCCAGTATGAAAAACCGGGATATAATTACCTTTATCTTTAGATGCTAACCAGACTCAGAGTACACATACATAGTCACTTGGGTGGGTATCTACAGGATCAGCATTGTTGCTGCCAGCTATGGGACTTCATGGGCTGGGCCTGGAGAACTTGTGACTTTACAGTCAACACTACAGATGGGGTGGCAGATGCAGCCTCCAAAAGTGCATCTCAGCTGGGTGTAACTGTTGGAAATAACTTACTTAATTCACAAGGAAAAAAAAAATCAATTTCCTTCTCCCTTTTTCCTTTTACTTATCCTTTTCCTCCTCCTTTCTCCCTTTTAGCTCCTATGAAGTATTTGTTCCATGCTAGGGCTAGAAACAAGATTGAGGTCCCCTAGTATGGCTGCTAGAGGGTTCTCCAAAAATAAAGAACTGTCTGGGAACTGCATGGAAACCCCCATCCTTTTTCACAAAATTCTTGAATTGTATTATTTTGCTTCTGACACAAAGTGCTCATAAAATCCCATCTTTCCATCTCTGTCTGCTCAATACTGAAGGAGATTCCCCCTAACAAGAGGGGATGCCTTCCTCCTCTCTCACACCTGAGATTATCTGTGAGGAAGCATGCTGGGCCAGCACCACTGGGATGTGTAGATCAGAAGCACCAGAACTATTCCCTTTTCCTTGTTAAACATTGTGAAACCTGATTTTGAGCACAGCATCAGCCTCCCCAAGTTACAGTGGATGAATATGCTCTGGAGAGTGACAGCTACTAAAAATGTTCCCCTTTGCCCTCTTAAATACTTGCTTGTTTGCCACATGCACATTTAAGTCTAAGATTTAAGTAATAGCTGGGAAAATCTCCCAAAATGTCTCTTAACCCATTTTGTAAGGAACATAGTGTCTGAGTGCTGTGAACACAGCCTTTTCAGGCAAAAAATGATCAGAATTGATGGTGGGTTTGGGTGTCCAGTTTTGTTATGGCCCATCATGTTCCTGCTTTTTCCCTCCACTCACAAGAGCTACTGATATTATGGTAAATATAACTTTGCAATTATCTTTATCTAAAAAAAGGATTAAATAACATGCTTAGACATGAATCTGAAATTTCCATGTTATAGCTGTGTCCAGCCCTTTCAGAAAATCCTGCTTTGTAATAAGTTTTGTTTGAAATTCTAATCTTAGCTTAGAGATAGGATGACTCTGCAGGCATCCAGAGATGTCATGCACTCAGCACAAGGCTTCCACAAAGACACAGAGCTGATAAGCTGTATTTGGACAGCATGGATGAACTCTTCCCCAGCTGGCAGTAGATCCATCAAACATGAAAGAGCAGAAACTGCAAAGTAAGGGCATCTATTACCCTGAACCAGCTTTTTTCTCCTCCTGTTTCATGCAAAAGCAGCAGAGCAAAAATTAGTCTTTATCATCAAAATACATGTAATTAGTGCCTCTCACCCAATATTACGAATTTGCATGTGAAGTTTGTTCATTACATGCCCCTTTCCTGGAGCAGGAGGTTCTTCTAAGGCTCTGGGAAGAGACCAGTTTGGTATTGTTTGTTCGCCTCCCCATCATAGTTTATGGAAACGTTGTAAATCAGTTTCTAGGTAGATTTAACATGGTTACAGTATTTGCCTAGCTGTGTTAATTCGCTGCAGTGTTCTTTACCCTAAGGACTTCTCCCCTCTGGCTCACTATTTCTCTAATGACTTTTTTTCCTGTGGGAAAACTGTCTGCTGATCCATCTCTCTATGATGCTTCTCATTTCTGAGTTTATGGGCCAGACCAGCCCCTGAATAGGCTGAGTAGATAGGTGAACTCTTTGCCTCCTCTAGCTCATGGAGATACGGATGCTCCTTTTCCTCTCTTTGCCAAAGTCTTATGATCAGTCATCAAATGGAGGTATCAAATGGTTTAAGTTCACTGATGGGAGAAACCAAAGAGTAGGAGCTCTTCCTACAAGATTCTAACCTGTGGCACAGTGCCAAAGTGGCTCCCTCCAGCTGCGGTGGAAGAGCTGGTGGGAAGCTTCAGTGCTGTATTTCATACCACTAGGGCACTGGGGAAAAGGTAAACAAGTGTTTGGGATCCTTAGCATCTTCCTCTTGCATTGCTCCATTTTTTCCCCATAGGTCTACACCTAAAACAGCAGAGCTCTCCAAATATCTGAGCTGTTCCCAAGCTCAAAGGAGTCTCAAAGCAAGATCTGTTAACCTGATTCTCAGCAGCCAGGAACGGCTCTGTGGTTCCCTGGATGTCATTGCTCTCTTTCCTTTGCTCCATCTCATCTCAGATTTCCATGCAACATTTGAATTTTGAGTCTTGTAGGGCACGGATTTCCTCACTAAATGACATCTCAAAGTGTCTAACACCTGTTTTTTGTTAAAACATTTTCCACTGCAGTGTTGTTTTTCCAATTTTTCATGGCAGGGTTTTGGCTTGTATTGGGTGGGACATTCCCCACCCACTAACCATGCACAGTTTGGATGTGGAAAGCCTCAGACATGTTCCAGAGTCTCTTCTAAATGCACAGGATGGACAAGGCAACCTTATTTTGGGACAGCTGTGATTTTAGACATATGGATAGTCTCACAAGTAGGCTGTGCCACTTTTCCCATTTTATTTAGTAGTGTAGGCAGCACCTAAGACTAGACTCTAGGAACAAGTCTACTTGTGGCAAAATGCTGGAGGTGGCAAAATGCTGGAGGCAGCAAAAGGGCTTTTTTGGAAGGAAACTAAGAGAGGCTAGGTACTTCTACTGCTGAGACAAACTATATATGCCATCTCTCTTCTCCTTTTCTTCTGCTGGTATCTGGAGCAACAAAGCCAGGTATTGGTGGAGTCAAGGGCTTTTCATTCCATCTCCTTGTCCAAACTGTGCTTATTCCTCTAATGTTGCAGGAGCCAGAAAGCTTCTGACTGGCTTCAGCCTCAGAGTAGTATAGTAGATTTTTTTTCTTCTGAGAAGCCCAGAGCTGGCTCAGAAGGCTGTATCACCAGCTGAAGGTGATTTTTCTTCTGATTCGTGAAATAGAATATTTTTGTATTTTCATCCTTGTGCTTCCAGGTCCCCTTGCTTGCAACTGATTGATATCTCTGCTTGCTGCAGAGTGAGGGTTAAATTAAGATTATGTCACTGATGAAGATAGAGGTCATCTCTCTTCTTAAAATCGTATTACAGAATAACTAGCAGCTCCAAGCCTTCTGATCTCAGATGCCAAGACCTGGGGAAGTAGATGGCCCCAAACCCAAATGATTCACCCATGAAAATCTGCAATATTCAGAGACTCTTAGAACCTCACATTTCTGTCATTGATGGAGAAGTCTAATGGTCATAGATGGTATTTCTGAAAAAGGAAGGGCCTAATCTAGCTGGAACAATAAAACCACATATAACTATTAAATATGAACCTCTAAGTTTCTGCTTTTCAAAGAATATGCTGCTTTGAGGCATCTGTAACTGCGATACTTAAGGGTGGTGGTTCTGGACCATGTCATTTA